TCAGTTTATTCACGTGATTAATTCAAATAAAATCTAAGTAGGTATTTCTAAATTTTTAAGATTTTTTGACAAGAAATTAACCGAATGTCTAGGTGTTGTATCTTCTAATTCCTATGCAATTTGGCGGTTCACCAACATTCCTACTAGGTCACTCTTCCGCGTGTTCTCACTGAACTTTTCATCAAAGGACAAGATTAAATCGCTGCCAAAATATTAACAGCTTCGATTCCAAAAATAAACAAAATTACTTTAGTATTTGTGTAGACCTAAGACGAAGCTCCTGTAACTTAGTAAAGGTTTCTAACGCTCGAATCGCTTCAACGAAAGACTATGCTAATGAGAATAAATGAATAGGAAGATGATTGATTTGTGAATCGGCAGGTCATTGAACTGTCATGTCCGGTCCAAGCGCTACCAAGACGCGACGATACATTTATTATAATAGTCACGGGAGAGTGTAGGTGGGCGCGTCTTTGCGTTTTGCACCGATAAGAACTCGCCGTCACGCCGCGAACATCTGGGCCATACGTCGCATAACGCATTGTTTCTCTTACGACTTCTGAAGTACACACAATTATTATTCCTGTCAAGCTGCGTAATTATCTACCTAAGACCGATTTGTTATCGTAGTTTTTAATTCAACAAAAATCACGTCGTTTAAAATAAGTTTCGTATGTCTCACAATATTCTCTTTCACTCATTTGAATTGCAATTAAGTAGGTGCCCAACGTGGGTGTTCATATGATACCTACTTCAGAAACAGTATTACTCAACAGTAACGCTTTGTTATTTTTTGTAGCATATGGTTCACTTATTTGATAGTCAGCAAAAAGAGAGCGAACATTGTTGGCAATGTTTACGGATTTGAATGTTGAATCATTATTTTTAACCGAATGCACAACATTAAAACTTAGATATCTAAGTATTTTTCAAGGTCGGTATGGAAACGTAGATATTTTAGACGTAGGTACCTAACGTAGAAACCAAAAAGGTTTGTTTGTTATAAATATCTATGAGATGGAAAAGAAGACGAATTATTTGGAAGATAGATAATTTAAATTATAGTAAGTAAGTACTAACTTCTGTCCTCTGTCTTCTGTCTTTCTTTTCTCTAGGTAATTCTTAAGTTTGACAAAGTAAGGGAACTCTAACATTAGCATTTAAAACCACGTGGAATTGTTAGTGTCTAGTTACATAACATAAACCACAATGTAGGTGCCATGCTATGGCAGTTACGGTGTCATGATGGCAGTGGCAACCGCCAAAGTTTTTATTAGCACATTGAACGGAAGTCGTGCGTGATGCTATTACTACACAAAACGTGCTATATATATTTTTAATCAATCGACATAAATGTGGCACCCCTGTAAACCTAACACGTGTTTTACAAATTGCAAACTGTAATTTTCGAAATGTGGTCCGGCATTTTTGTTTATTGGTTAATGGTGGGCTAGCTGGAGCACAAAAACTGTGTACCATTACTACCATTCCAGTACGAATCCTCTTAAATTGAGATGGACATAGATGACCTCACAGGCTCGTCAGACCCAATTTAGATATACATATATTTCTGTTTACGACATGTATGGTTGAGGAGTGGAGTGGAACGGCATCGGCATTAGCATAATTGGAGGTCGGCAGCCGCTGCTACGGAACCGGTTGGACCGTGGTACGAATATGACGTCATCACTGACATCACCACCTGCCGATTCCATAAAAATAATGAAAATTGAAACTATTTAAGTGTCATTTTAATATTCGAAACCTTGAAATACTAGACTTAGACACTGAGCCATGTAAAATCTCATTCAATAACTGTCTAACTGAATTAATGAGGATACCTCTCTTTGAGGGAAACCGTTAATAGAATTAGCGGGTTGTGTGTGCTACCACTGTAAATCACATAATGTGCCAAGTATCAGAGTTAATATAGACATTATAGAAATTGATTTATCGTAATCAGGCGGATGACTGAAAAGAAAGTCTGAATTGCTCATGACATCGGTTAAATTTATTTTTAGAAAAGTAACAACTTCTCACTTAGGTAATTAACTAACGAGACACGAAGACAGTCACTTCTTTAATTACGTATTTATAGCCATTCACGACTCTTGAGTGAATAAGTGTAGTCACTGAAGGAAAACATTCCTATGTAATTAAGTAATTTAATATCAATGTACAACACGTGCTAGGTGCGGCTTTCCACCTAGTTTTTATTAATTAAACTGTCATCAACAGCTAACAGAAAATCTGGTATCTAGGTCGGCACACCCATAGTCCAACAGAAATGGTCATGCCCAACCCAACCCCACAAAAATGAGCCACCCACCCCGCAACAAACCAGTCTATACACCCGGTATATTTGGTGTAGGTACCTATTATATTTATGAGTATATTAACAATATTATTTATCATATTTTTAGTGTTATACCTACGTTCCTACGCTATTCAACGCCTGTAAAAAATTGATCTCCAATTAATACCACGAATAAATTGTAGATAATGTACTTCGGGTTCAAGTCAAATCTATGGTTCAAGTAGATTCCTAACTGTGCTAAACAATTACTTACTTACAAAACACTTTTTGCGACACATTTTTTTTGTTTACAAGGGTAAGTTTAAATTGAGTGTTTTGGAATTATAAGTCCTTTCAACTATGCAGTAACCTAATCTATTGCCTTAACACGAAAGTAAAATAATGCTTAAACACGTAATGTTGTACATAAACAATTTGTAACAAATTCAGGTTCACATTTATTTATGAGATCATGAGATATGAGGAGTGGGAATTCAGAGTATTTACAATTCTATCAATCTAGGAATTCTTATTAGGTATGTCGATGAGTCGTTCAATTTACCTAGGTACATCTCTGGTAGATAAATTAATAAGAAAGTTTAGATAACACCGTCTCTTTAAGCCTTTAGCTACTTCTATATTGAAGAATAATTTTCTTCTCATCTGCTATTATGAGCTCTAGCTCTGGAGCAACTTAACTACAAGACTGTTGGTAAATTGAAGGTCTCATCGGTACCTATACCTTAACAATATCATCAAAGCATAAAATAAGGAAAGGAATGAATAAGGCATAACTTTATTAGCATTGCAGAGACTGCACAGTCGTGGTGGGACTCTGCAGTGCCTTCTTCAAATGTGTTATTTCAGAAAAATCATTCTCCCGACTCATTATCATCATTTCTTCCTGGTGGGCACCAGAAGGACTACATTAACACAAACAAAGGACTACATTAACACACAAAATAGCAGGCACACCGGGATAAGGGAGTGAGAGTAGGGTAGAAGACACAATCTTCCGACCCCAATTTTCGAAGGACCTAAAGTGATTGAGCTTGTGGATGCGTCAATATCAGACAATCTATTGCTATGAGAAATAGCCTATTAAGCGAAAGAATGGCATAGGCTGCGATTATTACTGACATCTTCAAAATTCTATCGCATAAAGTGTCTTGTTCTGTCTGACTCACAAAAAAGGCGGTCACACAAGACGGGATCTCAAAACACAAGTAATCTCAAACGTCCATCAGTTGATAAAAGTAACAAATCTTATTTATACATAATCAGGTTAATGCCTTGTCTGTTCGTTGATCTGATACAGACAGCATTAAAAATATTTAATTTATTTAAACGCACATAAAGTCAACGACTAACAGCGAACTGGAACATTTGCTAGAAAAAATCACGCAGCACGCTGTAATATGTATGTATATCTATAACTGTATAACACAGTATGTTACAAAACCTGTTTCAAGTTTTATTATCCTTCGTTTCCTCCGTCTAGCTTTTAATGTAGTTTTAGGACATTGAATCATCCTACCTTTGCTAGTTTTTTTTTTTTGTTTCCTTTAGTATCTGCTTTACTTATAATAATTACATACCTACTCTTTCCTCTTATTGCGATGATTAGATTGTGTCTATATCATTATATGTTTTTTAATGTTACAGTGCCGAAGAAGTATGCACTTTTAGTGTGTTAGGCTGTACCGGTGGCTGTACTGTGCACTAGTTCACCAGTTCACTGGTGCACGCCCTTACGGCAACAGATGAAACACAAAATCAGTTTTGTCGTGGTACTTAGAGCTAGGCCCTCTATCAGATCCTTTGTAAGTAAACGTGACGTGGTACCTTTACGTATGTGTATGCGAATATTAAATTAAATTCCATACATGAAACTATCTCGATACAAAAGTATTGGTGAAGTTCTCAGACTGCAGACTCAACTTTAAACGTTAGAAATAGGTAAAAGTAAGAATCTTTAGAATGTCTGACTGCGTGTTGACACTCTGCTATTACCCAGTAATTAGAAGAAATAAGTACAGTATTCCTATACAAGACTGACTTATTTTTTACTGTCTACTCTCTCTACTGCCGAAAGCCTGCACTAAAAAAACAAATTATTTGCACTGAAAATTCTACTGTTCTGCCCAATTCTAGGCTTTTCGAGGGCTTAGTACAAGAAATGCAGACATATTTCTTTCTTTGTTAATGGTGTATGATTTACAGAAACATAAATAATACCTTAAATACCTTAATGTAATTGCGATACTATATAGGTTCTCACGTTAGATCACAGTTGAAATTTTCAGAAAATCAATTAGGTATGAGTACCTAAGTAAGAACTCTTAGCGACATTTACCGGCTCATCATGTTTATGGATGGAGTTGGGTTGGCTATGAAGAAGTATTCTTACGTTTTATTTTTTGTTTGCACCAAGGCATAATTCTACCAAAATATCTAGGTATAAATAACTACATTTAATTATACATATATATCAACCGGTTTGTTATTGAAACTATAAGTAAGTAGTCAATGAGCTTTACCTACACTAACAAAACTATGCACCTACTACTTACACAACTTTTAGAGAATACTTACTAACATTTATCAAAGTGTCTACCGAATATAATGTAGGTGTAGGTACCAACTTATACTATAACTAGGACTTATCACCAATACTTTACATGAAAACAAAATATATATTTACCTCACAACAAGAACGATAAGTGTTTTTAAATTATCCGAACTTACATTCACTGAACTACACTTTTTATTTATAAATTCGCAACATTCGTATCACACACTCAGCACACTAATTCAACGTCCAATGTGTAGGAGAATCCAGTTATACCTAACTTCGCTAAAGTATTGTTCGCGCATACCGTGCGATCACATACAGAGTTAAGAAGCGCGGCCAGTCGCTAGCGGGTCAAACGCGTACTAAACTACGAGCGAACTCCATCCAACATGAGCCGAATGAAAATTGGAAATAATGCTACGCCGCCGCCTCTATATTCTGGTTGGCCAATGCCAATGGTAACCAACGTTATATAAAACACAAGCGTTCATTGCCTCGCCTGTGTGCGAGTTGATAAACCAGATAGTTCATAACACAGTAATGGACTAAATTCAAGCGCCAATACGGCCCAACATGCTGTGGCAGCATTTCTCTACGCGACACGCTTGGGTGCCCTACATCGTTGAAGGTATAACGTGCAATTCTGCGGCTGTTTATATTTATATAAAATAAAACGTACGCAATAACTAATTCCCACGGCACATTTTATCAAACTTGATGAATTAAAAATAAATCTAGGTAGGTCCCAGCAGTCAGGTAAATGATGAATTAGAATTACCGAGTAAACTGTTCAAAAATACGTGTCCGTTACCCAGGCCAGATGTTGTCGACAATGGTCATTTGAATCTTATAGATAATTAGTTGTGCGGCTTCTGTAATTGTTGCGCACATTTTTAAATTTGTTGCGCTTATAGTTTTTTAATTATTTCACAAAAACATTTCCTGCTGGCGTAACGTTACCACAGCCAGACCTTTTTCTTTCTAATGGGAATATTTAAATAAATATTAGCTATAAAATTAGTTGTCTAGATAAAGTAAATGTTGTGCCTTATTTTGTATTTGTTCTTTCTTCGGTTGCGAAGTTATTCGAGATTTTGCTGCGGTAACGTTTTTGGTTTTGCTAGATCTTTGAAATGGTTAAGCGGATTCTTATCATATTTTGTACACGACTTCCGAGGACTTAGTTTAAATTTGTTGTGCAATAACAAAACCAAAATAATGCATATTTTAAAGGTTTTTTCATTAAATAGAAAAACACTTCAATAGGCCCCAGCACTCTCAATAAGAAGTCTAAAGACTTACTTTAAACGTAATTTTAAAGCTTGTAACTGCTTTCAAATGTATGTGAAGTTTCATTAGTATCCCGTAAGTATTTAACAAGTTATGATGATATTCAGTTCTTCACGAGCACGGTCTTAATGCACGCGGTGTTATTTGGCCACTGGATTGGATATATGAACTGAATGTTATGTCAATAATTAGTTGTTTAGATCAGTTGTATATCAGTAAAATTTCAGCTCAATACATTGGATAATTAATGAGATAATACTATGAAAGTCATTAGGAAGTGAATGACCGTGGTAAGCCGACCAAGTTTAGGTGGTTACGAAAAAGAGAAAGCGACCGAATCAACACCGAGTCAACTTACGTATTTTTACGGATTGTGCGACCAAAGAGTTTACCAAGATCCTCATGGTCAATCACAAGTGCATTGCGGGAGATTGGTATAAGGGGAAGGATCAGGCCTCTGGTGATGCACTTGCACAACAAAACACAGCCGATTATCTGTAAAAACGTGATACCACACCTGACAAGCCGACATATTTTTATGAAAAAAATATTGTACAATTCTACAGACTTAGGATCTCGTACCCTCAGCAGGAATACACTGTAGATACAGTGGCAACTCTTACAATAAAACAGAGTTAAAAATATCTATTAAATAGGTGTTCCTATTTTCAATTATCATCAACGACAAATTAAATAAACTACAATAGTACATATTTTATGCATGAATATAGTTGTTATTCAATTTTGATTTCATTGAATGATGAATAGGTTCAAGCTTAACATAATAATAAAAATTCGTAAATATTTTAATTTTAGGCTCATCTCGATATGTTGAAAGCCTCGAATCTGTATGTTTATAAAATTAAAAAAGTAACAAATGTTATTACAGGGTTACTAGCAACAAATTATTATCCTACTTCTAAGGAAACATTGTAGACATTAAGGCTATAAATATAAAGCCAACTTAAAGTAAATGCAAATAATTCCTATGGTTCTACAAATTTACTTTCAACTATTATTAAAAATACTTGAAAATCGTAAAACTCTATGAAAGTTTTATTAATTTTGTACAAATGTAAGGCTTAAATATTTTAAGTAGTTGCAACCCCCGGTAACAGTTGACCAGCCAATAAAATACTTTCGACTCGTTGTCGAATCGAAAGAAAAAAATAGAAAAAAACTTGCAAAAGATTTTGCTGCAGTAATTTAGGAAAAAATAATTCAACTCAAAAACATGTAATTCAACTTATGGCCTAAGTGTTTAGAGAGGATTTTTTAGAAGATAACGATTTGTTAATAGTTCTTAGTTCGTAATATTACCTTGTCTTGAAGTTAATTTTATTATTTGCTATTTTTCCTGCATATTTCATTATTGTCTCAATTTAATAATGGTCTGAATCTTATAAATGTCAGTAAATAAAAACTGAATGTTATGGCTCCTGGTAACAACGAGCGACATCCAAGTCATACGGGAACTATACCCAAGACAAAAGTGCGAAATAATTGTAATGTTCCACAAGAAGCTGTTACACCAACAAGGAGAGACATGACGACCAATCTCGTAACGGTAAGGATCACTGCATATCTTCTCGTATAACTAAATAACTGCATGCCAATTGCCAATATAATTTTTCACCTGTATATCATACCTGTCTACAATGCTGTCATACCTTGCAAAATGTCTCGTACATTGTTATATTTTGGCCTATAATTGCGTGGCCTTATTACTTATTGGAAGATATTCACCCCATCACTTATTACTAATAGGTCTTCAAATAATATTGCTGTAATATTATTAAAAGACTTGGAACAGTAATTACAAAACATGTTTAACCATTTTCAATGTAGCAACTAGTACATAGCAAATAAAAATATGAAACAGAAGCTATAATTACTAAATGTAAAATGGTTTATTATTTTGGTCTGTCGGTTGGCCTCCAAATGTGGCACCTATTTATCAACAATGCACACCTTGTTGTGTTGCCTGGCTGGCATATGTTATTATAGTATTAGTATATAAATAAAAATAAATTATTAAGGATCACTATTTGAGATCAATCAAACTTTTATACAAAATCCAACCCAGATTTTCAGATGTCTAGTGTAATTACTCAACTGTTACAGAAATATACCCTCACTAAATATTGTTTTGTTTATAAAATATATAATTTATGTGTACTCACTCCACAAAGAACAAACAAAATTCTATACATATGTATAAGTGACTCCTTGGACACTTGCACTTTTCTAATATATATCTATTCTACTAGTAATTTGTGTCCAATGAGAGTGATAAATTAAATGTATATTCCATTCCCTAAAAATATAAATTTATAATACACTTTATACATAATCATATTTTCCTAAATTAAATTAAATTAACTAATAAACTGTACCCTTTTAAAATACCTGCACTCATTTAATTCAAAAATTGTAAAATGAGCAGCAACAATAAAATGACAACTCATGTGTTTCTTAGTAAAGCTTGAACACATGTGAAGTTCGTATGAGTTTATTTTTGGAAACCTGAAAGATTCATGTATTTGAATTGGTGCCAAGCTGCCATGGTTTGTGACACAGATAATACTGAACTGAAAACAGTTCTAACCAATTTATTCTATTCTATTGAATTATTTTAAAGTTATTGTATAAAATATAAGCTACTGTGATTTTGTATTACATTCGTAAAAACATTCTTATGGGAGGTTGTTTTTCTAAATTTAGTGCACCAAAGGTGTGTGCTCTTTCTGTGCAACATATTTTAGGAATATGTGGGACATGTGATTTTTGAAAGCAATTATTTTTTAGACATCTCTTGATTGGGTGCCTGTCTCAGAATACAACAGTCGTAGTAACTACAGTCAGTCAAGGAAACCAACAAATAATACATCGGATCACGAACTAACAGATTTGGGTAAGTTCACAACTTTACATTATCATATTCATGTAACCAAATTTGGATCTGAGATGTAAGTAATTTTTTTGTGATGTTTTAGACAACTCGGTATCATTTGAGAGTGGATTTGGAAGGTTTGTGCCAGTGAGACCACAGCCACGCGCGTTACCGCTGAACGTGCAAAACCGTGAAAATATATCCACTGAACAACATGATGATGGTGCTGGATCATCTTTGTCTGGCCATACTTTGCATCCCTATGTGCATCAGATGCAGAACGGTAATGATAATGAATTTTCTATTTATTTAAAAGTAATTTCCGACTTTTGGTAGGATACACTTAATGAAAATAAGTTTTATAGATAAATATTATACTAACTAGATTGTATTTTTAGAATTCAACACAATTGTGAAAATTTGTTTTGAATGTTGTTTCTTATGAGTTTTTCAATACCGTTCTAGGTCTAATTCCGCATTCCAACCATGCATCAGCAGCTGTAATGATAGTCAATCCCACTACACCAAATGCTGTTACTGGAAACGTTTCACAACCATTTAATGTAAGTATCTGTATTTAAAACATATAGTTCTTATAATTTTAAGAACAAATTATATTCCCAAATTGTTTATTCCAGGCACCTAATCAAAACAGAAATAATTTAACTAGGAACTTGAATCCTTCTCGAAATAATTTTGAAGGGAGCCACGCAAGCAACAATAATACTACACCACCAATATCAAATTCTAGAACTGGAACAAAGACTGTCAACTTAATCAACAATATGTATGAACAAGGACAGGGCAGTTTCAATAATATCAATGAGAATAATCATGTAAGTGTTCCTAAATTTACATTTATTTAACCTTTTAAAATAAAACATTATTTAAAAAACGTTTAAAATAAAACATTAGTTAATTGTTGTATTTGTTGTCCTTACTAAAGGTTCACCGGGAATCTGCCCGGGCTTTGGGAGAAGCAATTGCAGCCGCTTGTCCTGATGCAGCAGCTGTAGAGCGCAGACTTGGACAAATACGAGAATACATTAGGGTTACTTCATCCCTCGTCGATACTATGCGTAATTCTGAGGAAGAGGTATGTCTATCACATTGATTTAATTCCTAGTATTAAGATTATTTAAAAAATGGTTGATATTATTTCTAATTTAGGCTTTTATCGAACACACTAAAGAAGAATATGATGAGCTGGTAGAGATGGTAATGAAATTAAAGGAAAGTGAATCTAAACTTGTGAAAATCTTAGATACGCCAGAGAATGTTGAAGTGCCTGCGGAGGAGACAGACGGAGTAGTTATTGTAGAACTACCGTCTACTGACGCTCACACGGAGAGCAAACCTGAGCCTCCAATAGAGACAAACACGAATGTAGACAAAACATCTAATGTTAAAAATGTGCCTGATAACAATGTCATAAACAATAACTTGAAAAAAGTTACTAACATTGAAAATGAGCAATTGAATAAATCTATGCATAGCATTAGGAATGACGAGGATGGTCTTGCTCAAGAGGAAATTAAGAAAGCTGGAGATGGCGTTACTATTGTTGTCGAAAACGCAGAATCCTCGTCAGCAGCACCTGACAATGTAGGTAGAACTGCTGATGCTAGTAAAGAAAATAAAATTCAAGTGGACGATGATGAAATAAGAAAAGACGATCAAGAATTAAAAGATATGTTACGAAAAAACATACTTTCGTGTGTGGAAAAAATTACGCGGATAGAAGAGATGAAAAACAAAAAGAAAGATTCGAATACACGCAGCGATCAGGTTTTTGTTTGTTACTGTGAACTATGGAGTGTGTCCCTATGTTGTGAGCCGAACAATCCATAGCATGAAGTGGATGCAATTGTGAAGCAGAAAATAACCGTCTCTAATAACTATTGCCATACTCGCCGAAAGGCATTTTGTACTTTCTGTCGTGTCAAAGCTGCTTTCTAGCTTTAACTTAGACTATCAGCTTTGATTTTGTACTCATAGTTAAACAACTGTTTTATGTGGATACTTAAATATTATAACAATTATTGTACAGGTTTGTGCATGTTAGAAACCATCGTCCCTTTCAACTAGTCTGATCGTGGCGTTAATTTTAAATAATAAACTCATAACTTACTACAGTAACCTTCATTTTGTGCGGGTGTTCCTACTCTACACATTAACACGTTCATAGACTTCAAATCACATTCGTACAAATTCGCGCACTGGTTGCGCATGCAGAAATGACTACGTACGACGAACTATTTCTGCTGTACTGATAGATTTAGCCTAGATGAAGATTCACTAATATGTCTAGTTTATTAGGATTTCAAATTTCCAACATGAACTCTACACTACTGTTTGTTTTTGTGTTACCCTCAAACCAATAGAATTCTTTTTAGTTTTCTCTTCCTATTTGCTTTAGTAATAACTTTAATTGGTATGTATTTCGGTAGGATACTGTAACGCGACCAGTGTCTGCACAAAGCAACGGCTCTACCTACAGTGACAACGAACTGTGGCAAAATGAGATTAAAAATAAAATGGAAATGTCGCAAATGCGTTTGGCAGCTTTGAAACAACAGCAACGGAGACTCTTAAAATATCAGGTATGTTTTGAACATTTTGAATATATATATTTTTTTAATTCAGTTATTTGAGGTTTTATTTTCATTTTATTGTGTAACAGGAAGAAGCAAAGCATCAATTGGAAGAAATGAATAGAGATAGGGAAAGAGAGAGACAAGCTCAGGAGGTGCAACCTTCTACTTCACATGACAACTTTGGTGGTGCACAAGTAAGTGGCATAGACTAAGGCCTGGTTTTATCAACATAACAAACACTAATTAATATTGATCATCAACATTTCCAGAACCAATCACTAGGTGGTAATTACCATCACGCGAATCGTATGTACGCTGCCAACCAGCAGATAGGCGTCGCGACCACATTACCGCATTCATCAGAGGCCCTGCACTTACAACAAAATTTGGCTGTCAGTGTGGACACCGACCATGGACATTCAGTACATTCTGCCCATAGCCAAGACGATAGGTTCTCGCATCGGGATACTAATGTTACTGGAAGTGAGGTTAGTGGAGATACAGGAAAGAAAATTATTAATAATGTGTTCATTGACATCTGTATACTAATTGGGTGGCCCGCTGCATGACTACCAAGTTTTACCAAGCAGGGTCTATCTCTACGTAGCATAGGAAAATATTCAAAGATTTTTTTACCAGGAGGCGGCAGGCGTGGGACGCGACAGTGAAGCTGACGATGACGAAGTTCTTCTCAATGAACGGAGTCGTATTTTACAACTCAAACTCAGAGAATTACAGATGAAGAAGCAACATATGGAAAGTTTGGTATGGACACTCCCTTTGTCCAGTTTGCATTTAAGTATTGTTGGAAAGTAATAATGTAATTTTCTTTGGTATTATTTTGTAGGTACAGGAATTCCAAAAACTTCAAATGGCAACTCATCTAGGTTCCGGCCGTAATACTTACTCTAGCTCGGGCGAAGATAGCGGCGACGAAGAAATACCTCGGAAATGTAATTTATTTGTTTTACTGACTTAGTTTGTACAGTATTATAGTATTTTGTTTTAATACTGATAATTTTCTTTAATATATTCAGGTAATAAACCCACAAGCAACAACAAAAATGAAGATCCTTTTAAATTATTGGAAATAAAAGCGATTAAAACAGCTCTTCAAAAAACAAAAGGTAATAGGCGCATTCAAAGACTCCAATTTTGACTTCTCTATCATCCCATGATTACTAACGTGAGAATAATTTTGTTTACAGACTTAATGAGAACAGTAGAGAATTATGAGGCAGAACATCTTTCTACGGCTCACGATGATTCTTTCCGAGAATTATCGACTCACTCGAATATCCATGACAAGTAAGAATTTTATTTTAAAGAAAAATATTAAATGGGCACATTAGTCATTAGATACATCGAAAGTTATGTCTTCAAGACAATAATTATTTAATATTGAAATACAAGAAGTAGAAAACCATTACGCATACATACATTTTAATGGCGTTTTTATAATAATTATTTTAGTAAATCGGAGGGCGGTGGAAGTATGGGTGGCTGGTCTAACGATGGCAGCATGTGTCGCGTGCGCAACTCGTTGCCGCAGCGACACAAGTTCACCAACGAGCAGCACTCGCAGCAACACTCGCTCCTGCAGGCGCAACAACATCATGCGCAACCGCAGCACCATGTGCAACAACATCATGCGCAACAACAACACGCGCAACAACAACACTCGCAACAACAACAACAAAGCAAGTATTCGTTATAATTTATTAAGACAACAATCCTGAATGAACTCTGGAAGAATTTTAAGTATGAGGGTGCCATGCTTTGGCACAGTCGACTCGACTGGCCTAACAGAAACCAGCGTAAACCAACCACAGCCTTGTGTTTTGCCGTGTGAGTTAGGTTTCCGGAGGCCCAATCCTTTCCCTCCACAAACTCAAAAAGGTCGGCAACACACTCGTTACTGATTGCTTACCATCTGGTAATCCGTCAGCTCTTTTACCGTCTTATCACATAAAAAAGAGAGACTTCAAATGTATAAGGTATTTTATCGAAAATGTTTTTTTCGTTTTCCTCCATTCGAATCTACAATTTGGAATGAGCACCTAGCTTCACTGCGAACAGACTGACAGACTACTATTCTATTTTGACGTTCCAAAAATACCTATTTATGGTTTAGTTGGAATAAATGATTTTGACTTTTATGGTGTTAAATCAGGTCACGAAGACAACATAGCGACGTTGCAGGAGTTGGCTCAAGAACTTCGCATGGAAACAGAGAAAATAATGGGGGAACGAGCTCGCATCAAGGATATGATATCTAATAAGGGTGAGTTTAAATATCAACATCATCAGAAGACTAGCTACTGTCCCGCGGTTTCACCCGCTGCTCGGCTCCTACATATCGTGGCGTGATGTTTTATAGCCTATATATAGCCTTTCTCGATAAATGGACTAACAAATACAAAAAAAATGTTCAATTCTAACTAGTAGTTCAGGGGATTAGCGCGTTCAAACAGACTCTACAGCTTTATAATATTAAGTAAAAAGTATAGATATTCAATATGCCATAAATCACTCTGAATTCCTATTATGAAAATCGCAGACAGTAATTGATGCTAAACAACTTTTAGTATAAAAATTATAGAATAGAATAGAATTTTATTTCCTTTTGAGATACAGTATACCAATACAAAATTAAATTTTTACCAGTTAAGGAACAATTTTACTTATTCTGTAAGTTTTTTTAAACACTGTTTATTAGGTAGGTACATATAAAAAGTAACAGGAATACATACTTAACTACCCAATAATTATCAGTCAACACTAACTTGTGGCAATATATCATCGCAATTATGTAATTTACTTAGTATAACACTAACAGAAGGAATAATAAATGTCCATTGACGGTATACATGAAAAAAATGTATGATATAAGTTGATCTCTAATTCTCTACCCATCCTATCAATACTATAATATTATAAAGAGGTAAAATTTTTAAGTTGGTATGCAGGGGGTAATCTTAGAAACCGCTGGTCGGATTGCCAAAATTCTTGATAGATAGCTACAATGTTCCTAAGTGCTACAGGCTATAAAACATCACGCTACAATCAAAAGGAGCTGAGCAGCAGGTGAAACCGCGAGAGAATAGCTAGATTATATAAGTCTATCCAAATAATTTAAAAAATATTTCATATAAATTTTATTTTCGTATAATATTATATCCTAGCGGTTTTTTTTGCAGAAGTGAGTCGTAAGCAAAAGAAAGTGAACGAAGAAGTGCGCGCGGGTCCGAGCGGACAGAGCGCGCCGAGCGGCCAGCCCGGCCCCGCCGAGCGACGCCAGATGCAACTACGAGCGTTACTTGCTGATAAGCAACGTGAACTAGAAGCTCTTCTCAACAAAGAGGTTAGTAAATTAAGTTATAGACCCACCATAATTATGAACTGGTGCTATTCGCCAACTTTATTTGGTGAATATGTTGATTTTCCTTCATACAAAAATAATCCAAAATTAACGAAAACATTCATCCAAAATATTTATAATTAACTTTTATTGTAATTATTACAGAAAGTTTTATGTTCTGCTCCTGAACCCCAAAATATGAAGCAAGAATCACGTAGTGCATCCGTTGTAAATCAATCGTATAACAGGTACGTTATTCAATATATTATGCTTACCTATCAATCAACAATTTCAGAAATAAGTTTCACATACTTAAATTGTTTTTAAAAATCATGTCTATCTTGCAGTGAACAAGACCGTATCAGTGAGCCTGAATCACGATCTGAGCAAATACTTCTAGATTCACAGGACTCTAGAGAAACAGAGAACTTTAGGGTATGTTATTCTTAATTGTTCTTTTAAAATAGTAGAAATAGTCTCTACTATAATAAGAGTTTCTCATTAACAATGTTCCTTTTAGGGAGGTGGTGACAGTGCCATGGGTGGTAGATCCGCTGCGGCTTTGCCTCCTCATATGGGCAGTGCTTACGGAAGCGACACAGATAGGTAATCTTTTACAGACAAAACCATATGCAAAGGACAACACTAGGCTGTTATACTTATGAATAATATGTCTTTGATTATTCCACAGTGCATCTAGGAATAAATCTAATCAGAGAAACCGAGTTCGACGACGACAACCCCAAGAGAGACAGACGGACGATAGTAGTGTAAGTTACTTTTTCTTTGTATCCATTGCCAATATGCTAATTAAGTTTAATATAGCATTGGTACGTAATAAGTTCTCCAGCCACCGTCTGTGGAAAGCGAGCAAGGGTAGCTCGCCCCCCTGACCAGAACCAGACCCGCGCGTACGCGCCTCAAAGAGCCTATAGACCAGCACAGATTGGCCCCTATAGGGTCGATTTTCAGCCATCATTTCTTTTGAACTATTGAGGTCAAGATATTTCTGAAAGATTTAAGTCTAGCCGAATATATGTAAGCCTTACATATATTCGGCTGGACTGAAATCCTGTTCCAAAAAGTCTATAGAGTTCAGCCAGAGTTGCGGGGCCCAGCAATAGGTTACCGAAGCTTTGGCCTGGAATAGGAGAAGTACCGGTGTGGTTTTTAGTCAAGATTTCGACACTCCCTCTCGCCTTACCCTAGACGCGAAATTCAATAAATGACCCCCTAAAAAACATTAGTGAGTGTATGAATGTAATTTTCAGTTGACCCAGTCGACCAACACAAATCAAAATATACGTCACGAACCCAGAGCGGAGTCATCGAATGTCAACATGGTTCCGCCAATTTCTCAAAATGGTCAGTGATATTTTCATTAATTTAATGCTGAATAGGCTGTTTGAATAACTCAATCTATAACAAACATTAATCTGTTTCAGCTGGAGAAAATCCGGGACACATGCCCTATCCACATATGCCACCTCCTGGCTGGAACACAAACAATAAATCCAACCAGGTAAAGTATACAACTTATTTTGATTTTTTTATTGTTATAGGAACTTTAAGAGATGTATCTCTTATTTGTGTCAGCATTTCTTCTCAGTCTCATTCAGATAGAAAATGCCAGCTTCATCTGATTTGCTTATATAATTTTGACGAGTAAGCGTGCTGTTTTATGGCCTACTTGAAAAATGAATTCAATGTTTCATTGTTTTAGGATATGAGAAACCAGTTCACTCAGAACAGTCACTCTCAGACTATGGAGCGATTGATGGGAACACCCCAGCTCTCGTTCCCGCCGTCCATGCCATTCAACATGATGATGCCCTACAGTAAGTTATGCTCATATTTTCAATATATAATATTAAGGTAGTTAAAAGATTTTTTGGACTTCACTAACCAGAGAGTAAGCAAAACTCTGGTTTTATTCAATGAAAGCGTGTTAAAAAAATAGCAGTGGCGGTGCCCTAACAAGAGGATAATTAGGAAATATAAATAAGTTATTGGCTGGCGTCAGATTACTGTTGAGGGTAAATCCTCCGCTAGCGTGGTCCACATGTTGTTCCCCCATGGCGATCAACGTGTTCAAATTATCTTAGTCGAATTTCATCGGCTCGCTTTCTCGAACAAGTTTATTTTCTCAAGTAATATTGTCGTAATAATGAACATTGGGCTAATGTCATTTACTGATTTCCAACACCTCATTGTTTTTATGTTTTATAGAGAACCTGAATTAGTGACAACACAACTAAAATTTTATATCGTGTTTGTGATGTTTAAGGTATGGTGGGCGGGTGTAGCTGTGGGTGCGGGTTCTGGGGCGCCTGGTGCTGGCAGCAACTTGTCATGCAGCAGAGGGAACTGCACCAGCTCCGGGAACAGCTTAACCATGTTAGTTTTGTACTTCAGCCACTTCTTCTAACAACGTTGTCGTTTTTTTTATGGACTTATGTGCTGGGGATGGTACGGTATTTACTTAGTAAGAGTCCAATATTCTCTTTAGTAAGAGGAAAGAGTAAAGCGACAATTTTCAACCGCCCTCATCATAAATCGGGTTCTTCCTGTATTATATATATAAATGTAGTATATACCTACTAGTATACTACTTGATATTTTACTTTGAATGATTGACTTCTAAATATTTCAATATACTTTTACTAAATATGCATATTTGCATAATGTTGATTACTAGATTTTTCAATTCTGAATACAATTACGTCATGTATGTCAAACTGAATCACAAATGAAGCGTAATGCACCCATTATAAGATTTTATTACTATTATTATAGTTGGACTCGTGCAAGATCTTTCTTTCATGAGTCCCGTTTTGAAATCGAATACAATTTTTTAATTTGGATTCTAGATGGAAGAACGCTGGCGTGCGGAAACAGCGTCGCACACGCTAAATAATCAAGTTCCTCCAGGAAACAGAGCTAATAACTATTGGGATAACTTCCGCAGGTACATATTTACACGATCTATGCATGTAGAAATAAATGCAGAAACAGATAAATTATTATTAGAAATATTTATTTATTATGCTTTTCTCTTTTCAGATATTAGGATACAAGCATTATGTTTTCATTAATTTTCTTTTATATTTAACTATAGTATACTTCGTATTTATATATTTTTTTACACACTTCAGTTCAAGGGTGAGAATAGTGTTTGCCCCAAAATATTCCTTATGGAATCGATTTTCATTCACTTATGCTTTGTGATGAGACTAATCATACGTGTCTGTGTGATATTATAATACTCATGACGTGTTTATGCTAACATTATTATAGTACTTGCTTATATTTTATTCAGATTTTTTGTTTAATATTGTGTGATCATGTCAATAAGAAACAATAAATGACAAGTTGTAATTTTTTTCAGTTATTCGCGTCAAAATCTCCTGTCGGCCAATAACAAAGCAAATGCTGATGGCCACTTAGGAGTTGGTCCCGCTCATAACCCACACCCTTTGGTTGAAAGATCTCATAACACGCTTCACCGTACCCCCTCGGCCACGCCTCCTTGTATTACTCCCAAGAGAAATACTAACGCTGCCAGTTCGTCTCACAATGCCGCACAATCATCTCAGGCAAATAATGATGACGTACCAAACAGACAAACGCGACGGAACGTTGCCTACGAAAGATCCCTTTCTTTCTCATCTGCTCCAGATGTATTGAACGTAAATCAGAATCCCGATGCTGAAACGCCCACAGCTTGCCTTTCGAGAAACATTGAAGAAAGCAATGTCTCTAGCTCGTGTAATATTAATATTAATCGACAAGACGCCCCATCAAACTCTTTCAGAAATTTGAATATAACAAATCCAATTCCAGAAATAATACAGGCCCATGCGAATAACTTAAATACTTCTGCTAACAGCAAAAAGAAATCATCGTCTAAATTACCTGCTAAGAATTCAACTAATCGAAGAAATTATACCTTGGATTATTCACAAATGAGTAATATTAACATTGCAAGCACTTCTGAGACGCCTAATCCTAATTTAGCGTCAACAAGTCGCGAGGTGCAAGATAAGGCAACCTCGAAGTTATTTGATCTACTCAGAGAAAATGTTTATTCTGAAGTGACAGCTTTGATTGATGTGAATGAATCTCACCCAGATTTTTTAATACAATTGTTTAGAGAGCTACAGCTGATAAGTTCCGATACCTTGCGACAGAAAGTATTACAGTCTATACGTAATGTATTGTCTCAGTATAGTTCCATTATCGAAAGTCAAAGCAATGAGGGTGCTCACGACGAGAATAGACAAGAAACCGTTTCAACAACATCGGGTGAAGCTACAGCGTACAATGACTGTAATGCATTACCAATGCAAAATGGCGCAGGAAATTCTTTACAACTCGATAATAAAATAGTTCGCTTTTTATTGTTAAAAAGCGATGAGACATGTACATCAGAGTTTTTAGAGACATTAGTATCTCTTATATTGAGCAACAATGCTGATGGCAGGTATACCCAACAGGCCAAGAGGCGGCTGCTCGAGTTACTTTCAAAATATGAGGGAATGCGAGTTTGTGATGTTTCTGGTGACATAATTGAAAATTTGCCAGTATTCATACCTTCTAGTAATGAAAATGAGCCAACGCAACTTACAAATGAACTATCAGAATCTGGAATACTGCAAGATGTCGCTGGTTCCTTAAATTTATTCAGTTCAAGCGACAGCCAATTGCATCAGCTAAATCCGTGTCCTTACGATCTGTGGCCTGGACACGTTCACATGGATATTGAGAATTCAGACATGAACGATAATAGCCCACGTTCTAGTCAAGAAGGAAAAGTTGATCTCATAAATTGTTCAGAGATGCATAACGGAGATTTGGCCGAAGCCGACCAAACTCGATGTGATGAATTAGAAGACGGCGCAGTAAATGGACATGATGAAGCTGGAGCTAATGCAGAGGCCCTACCTGACGTGGTCGACACAGAAGAAGTCACTCCTACAGAGGTAATGCAACATGTACTGTATTGTAGATGCCTGCCATTAATCAATTGTGCTAACCGCAATGATTGACAACTTTTATAACATCAGTTAACATTATATACTTAATTACTTGAAAGGGCTGGTTGGGGATGCCCTAATGCCCTAATTTAATTATTTAACTATTTATCCTTCTACAAGTGTCCCCCTGCTTCTGTAGCTTTTTTTGGTTGAATTTGCAACTGTAACATGGTAATGGTTATTCCCATTTTTTTATAAGTGGGTTTGCTATGCACATATTTAACCACTTGACAAAGCTTAGGCCACATTGACTATATTGTTATACACTTATTCTTCTACATACATAAATTGTACTGTTATATAAAGTGGCTTTTTACATAAAATTATAATTTGTAGTGGATGTATGTTTTGTAAGGGTTGAACTAATTGATGTTTTTGTGGCCTAAGTTGTTCATCTTCAACTCTGTATTATACTCAGCACTTTACTATGTGAATTCCTAATTGTCATGTGTAATTATAATTTATTTTTATATTTGTAATATCTTGACACTTAAAAATAAACTGAAATATTTACAAATGCATTTTCACTTCTAAAGTATGACCACCAAAATAAAAGATTGCATAGACTTAAAAGTATTTATTACATTAACATTATCAGGTACAAAGACATTATATCACAGACAGAGGTTTTGGTAATAAACCTATGATTTTAATCTATGTATACAACCTGAACATTAAATACCAATTTGTATGTTAAAGACAAACAGTAAATTGTTGGTATGTTTACATTAAAGGCGGAAGCTGAGTGGCTTGGACTTGACCGTGTGCCAACAAGGCTGCACATGGAAGAATCATCTGAAAAACAAAAAGGTGAAGTTATTACACTAGTAAAAGTGGAGCAAAAACTCAAACTGAGCCATTTTGGCTTTTACATTGTTTGAGCTTTAACTGAAAGGGAAGACATAAATTAAAGCTTCTTACTCCACCTGTAACAGAAAAACAAAGCAAATTGAAATAATTAGTGTTTTCTTTTTTTCAGATTGAACTGAGAACTTTGACGACTCCCTGATGAAACTAGTATTACTGAATGACTATTATTGTATCCCACTATTATACTATTGAACTATTCTTGTCATAAATACTTTGTGTAATATATATACATATAATATATATTAATAAATAATCTTAAACAAATATTTTTATATTTAAAAAAACATCCACCCTTTGTCCTATTATAATTTTATTAAAAAAAACTTACACTAATTATAAAGAAACATAAGCATATTTTAAAGTGTACAAAAAAGTAGCATATATTTCTTAAAGTCCCAATCATTTAAGTCTTAAAAAATATCACACACAAATAGTAGTCACAGACACTGTATCAAATGAAAAATATTTCCTCCATGAATGTTCCAATATAATGATTCCATGACACTGATATCTTCGTTGCTTGCATCCAATTTCACTGTCTCATTTGTCTCAGGTTCAATGGTTTTCTCTCTTTGTACTTCTGCAGATAAAATGATAATTTTCTTAAATTATTTTTTTGTATTTTTTTTTCTCATTACATTTGACATTGCAGTAGAGATCAGATCATATGGACCATGAGACAACGAGATATGTCTGGATTGTTGTGTGTTGGACGAAGTAAACATGGATTGTAGTTGGAAGTCGATGGCACCATACCCTCTGAAATAAATTCGAACCTCATCACACTGGGCCTCAAGTTTCAGACAGGAAGCCTCCAAGCCAAGTTTTGTTGCTGTTTCAACTTTTAATTGGTTAACTTATTTTATAGTCCCAAGGTTAAGCACATTAAATACTTGAAAGATTTTTCTTGGAGTTGCTCAATTTCCTTTAAAAGATATGCTTTATGTATAATTATTGCTTTTGTAATTGATCTGTTGTTGAATAGGTCATAGATAGCTCAAATTAAGGGAATGTACTGTTAGTTAATTCACTAGGATACTTCTTGAGCAACATCTAAGAGGCCTTTAATCTCTGATCTGTCAGGATTTGTTTCTCAATGCTTTGTCTATATGCTTCAATACTATTTTCAGCTGGATTTACTATCAGGTGTTGTAATACATTTTTTTATTCATCTCTGTTTCAGTGTTCTATTGTGGCCATAATCATCCTGTGAGAAATCTATGCATACACTGAGTAGGCTCTTCCAGTTGACTTATCAGAATTACATATTAAGTTGGCAATTTCAATCACACAAACCAGATTTGGAATAGCATGGCAATACATGGCCCTTTTTTTGCTTTCAATCCTTTCATCCAAAATGTTTTGTATCTTTCTTTAATTCCATTGTCACAATATGGTTTTTACTGGCATTGTATTTTTATCTTGGAATGGCATTCAACATGCAGCATGAAATAATTCAAGCAACAGCATTTAATTTATGCATAATAATAGTAAGTCATTTAATTGATCTTACCTTGTGTGTTTGTAAATCTTCACAAGTCCTCTGTATGTGCCATTGTGCATAAGTGCTCCTGTATGCTAATGTTGCTCATGCCATTGAAATAAAAGTAACTTTAATGTGCTTAGCCTATAGGATACTATTTTGAAAAGCATATTACTAAGAGCTATTAAACAGATTGGCAAAGTTGAATGTAAATTTCTTGCTGAGAGAGATACTTCAAAACATGTTGAGACTGAGTCATGTGGGTGCCTTTGTAGAGAACATATTGCCAAATGAAGTATTGAGTTTTATCAAATTCTGATTGTTTTTTTTTTATATGCATGTACATCAAATATTTTGTTATTGCTTTTGTGCCAATCTATGTAATATTTCATGAACTACACAAAATAAAAAGAAATTACCACAATCATTGTTTTAAAAAGATTTTGCATGAAATTTATATACAGTGAAACCTGGTTAAGTGAGACATCAAGGGACCTGCAATGTCGTTTCACTTATAGAGGTATTCCACTTACCCAGTGTCTCAGATATACAGGTATAAATAAATATCTGTTTCATTTACAGAGGGTTCCATTAATAGAGGTGAGAATACAGGTTATTTCAGTTATACAGGTATACAGTCAAGTTATTCAGTGATACATAACACGTTATTTTATTTAATGCGATCATTAAATAAAATAACGTGTTATGTACGTAAATAAGTTTTAATAAAAAAAAAATAGTACTTAAAGGTAATCATAATCACAAACTTTTTCGCGTGTCTTCCCATTTTCATAAACGGATATTAACTTCAGTTTTTACGTAATGATAACGATTGTAGCTTTCGTTTTGGCATTTTTCAAATAAACATCTGTAGCATACTAAAGCGAAACTAAAACTGAAGGTAATTGAAGCTCTAAATTTGTACCTAAGTACTTGGAATTACGTGTGGAATTTGTGGATAGAATAAGAATGAGTAAACAAACAATGTTATCTCAGTTACAGAGGTTTATGCATATAAAATTTACTCGCTGTCTCAGTTATAGAGGTAACTATGATGATAAATCGAAAGAACAAATCCCAGATATACAGGTTTGCCTCGTCCCACTAACAGAGGTAATTCAGTGCCAAAGTGTTGGGACCTCAGCATGAGTTCCAGTTATGGAGGTTTCTCACTTATCTAGGTCCCACTTAACCAAGTTTCACTGTAATAATATGCCATATTCATGTCTTGACACAATTTACATCCAAACATTACTTTAAAAATCTGACTACAGAAATAAAATCTTGCATTAGCTAAATTTTTTGAAATAAAACAATGATTATTGATTACACCTAAAAACCTAAGAGTAGTCCAATTTTGTTTTTTGACACTGGGCTAGACTAGCATGGTCATGGTAACTTTTACAAACCTTTTCAAAGATTCTAATATAAGATATTATTATTGTGCAATACATTAACACATTTTCAATGCACTTGTAATCTTTTACAATAAAATGTAACAAAATAATAAAAAAATTCCTTTTATACATATACTGGCAGTGACTGGCATTAACATCACTTAATATTATGTTTTAATTATTTTAATTTACATAGCAAGTATCAATAAATTATTAAATAGACTTATAGATTCAGACAAGTAGCAAATTTTGGTGTAAATAAATATAAATTAAAAGAAAATCTTGGGCAAGGATCACCTAAGGGTTCTTTTTCCTAATTAGGTATATAGTATAAGTTAATGTTACATCCTAAGTATTACAAGTAATCAAATTTTACATACAACACATAACAAACTTAACAACATAATTCATAGGTAATTAAGTATGATATTTTCACTTTAAGCCATTTTCATTCAAAGTTATAGCACACAAACAAAAATTACTATTAGCACAGTTACAATGTAAATAAGAAATTTCTCAAGTTTGAAATGACACAAGCAAAAATTAATAGAGAAACAGAAAAAATAAACACTAACAGAATATTTAACTTATTTAATTATTAACTACTTACTGTAGGTAGCTCTTGATCACCTAAATGCATTTGCCTTGCATTTAGGTCAACAAGAGACTTCTTGACCTTTTAACAGATTTACCAACTCTTATGTGCTGTAACTTTACTCAATCATCATGATGATTAAAATGAGGAGCAACATCAGAAAACTTAGATGCTATTATTTTGCCAGTGTTAGAAACTATACAATACAAGAAACAATGTGTTTCTATATGGCAAGACTAACAAACCAAATTATAAATTGTCAAGCTTTTATGAATACATGATTAAAGCATTATGTTGAGTAAAAGGTATATAAATTAATATTAGCTAGTAAAAAATATATTTGTCTCTCTAATGGTATCTTCATAAAAGGTTAACAAGATAGCAATGTGAAGGTGAAATATAAATCTATACAGTAAAACAAGTTAGTGAAACTGCAACAAAACTATAAAAGATCAAAAAGGCGGTAGGTACCATCTGCACAAATATGGCAATGGGAGACTTCCTAAAAAGCAAAACTACAGAACAATCTTGTTGCTCCATTTAGGTAACATTCATATAAAAAATGTGAAAGCATCTTTTGACATGTTAGGTTAGGAAACCTCAATGATTTGCATTCTTTTACACTTTTAATTAAAAAGCTATTTACGGAAATAAAAGGATACATACCTTCTCGAATTCGTTTGCGTTGAGGAAATTCGTCTTCATCGGCACTCCGCTTCCTTGAAGTCGTTGTTTTGGAGGGCCCCCTCTCTGGGAGTTCCATCATTTCACAATCTGTGTCAACGTGGTTGTCTTCGGACCTTTTTAGATCGTGGTAACCATAATAGCAATTGGTGGATATATGTACATTCTGACATTGGCCTATTGATTGATTGGCATCAGTACAAATTGGGGCGGGTCGTACGGCGTCGAAATTATTTCTGGCGTCCTGCAGGTACGAACCGATGTTGCTCGCCGGCATTTTCCAAACTTGTTATTCGGTATTGATGGATAATAAGTATTTTAGCGAATAAAACTGCACGGCTTATTTTACACGCTGCACTCTGTTCACCTTAACGTGTTAATGATGCAAGCTTAGTATTTAAGTTTTTAAAAATCTATATCAAGCTAGCTCGACGCTTGTACCTATACCTCACTCTTTCGCGTTTGGAAATTTAGGAGGAGCGAATGAGTGAGCTTTTTATGTGACAGTGACAGTTGTTTGTCAACATATATATCTGTGGTTATCAGTCTGTCAGTATCACAGCTTAAAGAATAAAAAAATAGCTCTGCCCAATCTCCAACTTGAATAGTTCAATAAAATTATTTGGCTACTAGTAATTTCAAATGATGATACTCTATTATTTTAATTCATCAGTTGGACTTTAAATGGCAGCCTAGTCCTCATATAATAATTTTAGTAAATAATTAAAACTTTGTTTATGGTTTCATTGTATATCAAACATGTCAATGTCATCCTTCACAAATTTTATTTCATCTTCCTATTGTCATGTCATTTCATCTGATGTCATTTGCTTACGAGTCGCGAATAAATATTCAAAATAAAATAACTATGATTAGAGTTAATTTTAGTAATTAGGTCATAATCTTACTTAAATTTTAAGTATAATGTTAATTTAAACTTAATACATTAGGGGCTAAAGATTATCATAAATATTCATGTGACTTAATACCTTCAAGGTTGAACATTTCGTATCAAACTATCATGTTGCCTTCGGTAGCCGCTAAGTGTTTCTACAGAAAATTAAGTAGACATTCAATTGAAATAAAAAACCTGCATTCGTTATGCTTTGGAGCACCCAGGATATTTCGACGCGACATTATACGCGAAGGCAAGGAGCTTTGGAGATATGTTCACAGTTCAGCATACCTGTTGGATAAGACCAAGTCTAAAAATGTTCCTGAGTCAGACAAAGTTGTGGCTGCGAATGAAAATGTCAATAAAGTGATAAAACAGAGTCCAACTGGCGATATTATAGTCAAAACGGAAACTGATGCACATAAAGTAGTAACTAAGGTTACAATTGAGAAACTGAAACCACCTGATAAGCCAGGAGAAGTATCTCCACCAAAACCAGGTTACATTTATTTATTTCAAATTTATTTAAGCTATGTTTGTTATGCTTTTATGTAACACTATACCACAGATTCATTTTCTAACAGAAATCTGTTACAGACACCTATTAGCATTCACTGGTTTTTTTATTTTATTATTATGCAACAATTTTTTATTAAATTCTAGGAGTTTAAATTAAGTGTAGATTACATAATCTAACTATTTTCCCAAAATATATACTAAGTTTATAATTTTAATTTTCAGTTAAGAAAAGACTTCTCATAGATTTCTCAGCATCCTATACTGAACGAAATTTTATAACTCCTATGAGAGCCATGACAGAGTATTTGCTGAAGCAATCTGATTTGGAGTCTTTACCCAAAGTTCTAAGAAGGTCTCCATATGAGTCCGAACCTCCAATAACAGTTTACTACCGCAAAGATGTGGAAGCCAAGGCAATTGAGGTAAAATATTATTAATAATGTTAGTGTTTAATAAATATTGAACAAAAGTATAGCAAATACTTTTGTTCAATATTAATTATTAAACTCTTTGAATATTGTTAAAAACTGCCATCTTACAATAGATTGAAGTGCTAGTAACTTATGTGATTTATAATGGCAAGTTACATCTTATTTCCAGCATCATTATGCTTCTAGTAAGTAAATCATAAACAATAACTCTTAAAATCAAAACTGTATGAGGGTGGCTGAATATTTTGATATATTTGGTGACTCTGGCTAATAGAACTCATGAACTTCTCTTATGATTCTGTTTATCTCTTGTTTTTAATGTAAATAGTGAATGTTACTATCAAATTTAACTTAGGTTTGGGGATCAAAGGAGACCCTTGAGAAGGAATTGTTAAGAAGAGAATTGGATAGAAGAAGATATGAACAAGGTAAATTATAAATAAATTTCTTTTAGGATCTTGCTATGTGGACACACAATAGTTTGTTCCAATTATTAATATGATTTTTTTAAAAAAAGCTCAATTTTACAGATGTATTTACTGTCAAAAGGAGGCTTAGAAATTACAGAAGGGAAATGAGCCACAAACGTCTTAAACATGGAGTGGAAGAGATGGGACTAAGAACTCGGTCTGGAAGGGTTGTACTTACAGCAGTTGGAATGTAAGAAAAAATATTACAGAATAATCATCCTCTATAAAATATTAATCATTAAACCGGCCACTGTTTGCCATTTAATATAATAAAGGTCCATATCAAACTGCCATCCTAGGCTGTCTATAAAGACTGTCCTGAAGATTGTTTCTTGACTCTAAAATATTGAGTTGGTACATATAATTTGTTTTTGTTTCAGAAACGGCTGTAACTTTTTATTCAAACTTTGTGCTTGGCTATACACTGGGTCACACAGTTTATTCTCTGAGTGCATCCACTCCCTGGCTGACACTGTGAATCAACTAATTCTTGCATATGGGATACACAAATCTGTTCAAGTATAGTATTTCTTTAGTTGTCTATTAGCTGAAATTAAGTTTTTTTTATGTAATAGGTCGGTAAACAAGCAGACGGATTACCTGATGGTAAGCAATCATGCCGCCCATGGAAACCCGCGGCGGAGGAATTACGAGTGCGTTGCCGACCTTTTAGGGATTTGGAGATTCAGGGATTGTGGAACGGGAAAGATTGGGCCTCCGGTAACCTCACTCACACGGCGAATCACAATGCTGTGGTTGTTTCAAGCCGGTTTTCTGTGAGGCCGTGGTATCACTTCGGTCAAGCCGACCCATTCATGCTGAAGCATGGCTCTCCCACACTTAAATTTGTTCTTCAACCTTATCATTAATTGAAACTACTATTTAATTCAAATGGCAAAAGTTACCTTACTCCAAAAATAACTAAATATAAAATTTTGGTTATACTAATTTGTAATTATTATTTATCATGTTTTGTTCAGATGGCAGATCCTGCTCACCCATATGGTTATACAAATATGAGATATGTCTCCTCCCTCATATCTGGTGTTGGGATATTTTGTGTAGGATGTGGCTTATCTTTCTACCACGGAGTTACTGGAATATTGGACCCTCAACCCCTCCATGATTTTTACTGGGTAAGTAAAATATTTTAAACTTTTGATAGCAATATTTTTCGTTTGAGAAGAGGCCTTTGCTCAACAGTGGGCACTTGCTCACTGCTGAGCAAAGGACAATGAATGATTATTTTATTTAAAAAAATACTTTTAATTTATTTCAGGCTTATTTCGTTCTTGGTGGCGCTGTAGTCTCAGAAGGCGCTACGTTAATGGTAGCTTTGAATGCTATTAGAAAAGGTGCCAAGGAGGCCAATACGTCATTATATGAATACAGTAAGTATTTACAGACAATAAAGTAATGATGATGATCAAAATATTTTATATATGATTGAAACATAAGGCCTTTGCTATTGGGTGTGGTCCACATTTATTAGAAAACTGTACCAAAATTACGTAAAATTACACAACGACACACATTTGATTTTTGGGTACCTACAAATTTTTCATGAATAATCAGGATAGTCACAAAACCTATCTTTATGTTACAGTAATGCGGAGCTCGGATCCATCTGTGAATGTGGTACTTTTAGAGGATACTGCTGCCGTAGCTGGCGTGATCATAGCTGCAGGGTGTATGGCTTTGTCCCAATACTCCGGCAATCCGTTATATGACGCTGTTGGTTGTATCTTAGTAGGAACCTTACTTGGTGGAGTGGCCTCTTTTATAATTCTTACCAACGTAGGAGCCCTCGTTGGCAGGTAATTAATGAGGATTGGATTAAAAATTTAAGAACAATATTACCATACCGACAATGTATCAATTTTATTACCAACAGATCGATACCGCAAGAGCAACTGGACCAAATAAACAGCGTTTTGGAACGAGATTTTATGATAAGAGCCATTCATGACGTCAAGGGCATAGATATAGGCAGTAATCTAATAAGATATAAGGTAAACACATTTTTTTGTAAAAAAATCTAGGCTTGTCTCAATGTTCACTTTTCTATTTTTTGTTAACAGGCTGAAGTTGATTTCGACGGCAGAGCTCTGACAAGGTCGTACCTAGAGAAACACGACTTGAACGCATTAATAGAGGTGAGATGTGTGATGTGATCTTGATAAATGTTATTATTATGCTGTACATAATAACTTATGAATAATGCATGTATGTTTACCGGAAATTGTTACGGCACCTATTGTATATTGTTATTACTTTTGGATTTACTTTTTATTTATTATATTAAACAATGTATTGTTTCAGGACATGAAAAAAGTTGAAACTATTGACGATGTGGAAGCATTCTTGCTGAAACATGGTGAAAATATTGTAGATATGCTGGGCGGTGAGATTGACAGAATAGAATTGAAATTACGGGTGAGGAAATCGTATTAGTTCTATTGTTTTTAGAAGTTTGTATTTTTTTAATTTGTTTTTTTTTTAATATTCACATTTTTATTTACAGAAAAAGTTTCCACAAATCCGGCACTGTGATTTAGAAATACTTTGAAGTGTAGCAACGAATATAGAAACGTTATTTCATACATGTTTAAGAGCTGCAGACTAGTCAAATGACAAAGCTCATTGCAAAAAGCCTACAAAATTAAAAGCAGCTTGTATCGTTATAATGTATATACATTTTTGCTCATGTGTGCATCCGCGCATACTTGAGCATTTCTTTGGGACTGTACATTTGTAAAAAGGTTTTGAAAAAATCAAATAAAATATACCAAACTGTGGTATTTTGAAGATAGCAAAGTTTCAATATAATAATATGAAAAATTAAATATTAACTTTAATTTGCAGCATTTGTCATATTTGATAGATAAAAGGTTTGGTATCTAGTTATGTTGGTCCTGGGTGTTTTGTGTCCTTAGTCGAAGTTAAGGAACCTGGCTTATTTTACAATCGTCTCACAAATCCTCTGGCACATTTTCCAAAGAAAGAAATAATTTTCATACACATAGGTTCCACAATTTTAAACTAGTTTCTATTGTAGAAATGTAATGTAGTCTGTAGTGAATGTTAAGAAATGGCTGCTTGCTTGGCTTCGTCTAGTTATTTGTAATGGTTAAATTCTTGAGTCCCTAATACCCGAATCTATATTTTTATATAAATATCTCTTTAGTGGAGATTAAATCGGAAGAAACGATCGTGAATCTTTCATTTACATGTTTCTCGTAAACTAAACTTGAATAATCGAAAAAACAACCTCTGTTTATATCCAAAGGTATACACAATAGAGAACATGAGGGATTAATTCCTGGTATTAGAATGCCCATCATTCTTGGCATTGACGCCTAGGTAGATATACCTAATATAATGATTTTTATAATTTTAGTGACACCACTTTTTTGTGGATCTCTGAGGATATAAACGGAGTTAAAGTGATATCAACGTTGAAACCAAGCATAGTTAAAATTTAGATTGGAAGACATTCCAGAATAGTTGCCTCCTAGCCTCGTAGGCGTAATCTTTCTGAACCTTTATTGTTGTAACACTTGTGCCTTGGTTTTCATTAGTCTCAAATTAGTTTCCTGATATGTTGTATTTCTCTGTGATCTAGGAATGTATTTTACATAATGTAATCTATAGTGTAATAAGTTTTACATAGGTGTAAATGTACTAATTTTTAAGCCCCTTATGTTCTGTATGTAAATAAACTGTTATAATATTTATTTTTTTTGAGTTTATTGTAGTCTATAAATACTAATAAACGTTATAAAGTTTCTAGAATTCTAGAATGCATCAATAAAAATAACCTTTTTTAATTTATACTTTATTTAGTATAAAATATAACAATTCCATTTAACTTACATGCTTGATATCTTGTCACGATACTAAAATGACGTTAAACGCAACTTAAAAGACGTAATTTTACGGATTATAAAACAATCATTCAAATTCAACATCAGTACACAACTATTGTAGGTATTTCTGGTGACAAGTTTAAAAATCTAATTATTCTTTATGGCAGAAACTTTAACATGCAAATAATTTGAACAAAGTATAAAAACAAGCTTATTGTTACCTAAACCTAGATATAAATTTTTGATCAATTAATCACATATTTGCTGTTGGGTTGAGCTTATGTAAGTTTTCTCTAATTTATGGATTTCAAAGACAGAGAGAGAAAGAGAGTCTACAAAATGGCAATGATTATACTTCATGTGACATAGATTTGAAATATTTATATACGAGAAAGGCAGGTTGATCCTTAGAATAACATCTGCATATCTCTTCAAATAGAACTAATGTTTGTAATAGCTAGTAGGTTTTATTTATTTGACATAATTTGTCAGTTTTCCACATTTACTCCAACCAAGTTAAACCCGAATGCTCTGTAAAAAAATGCACATGTGTGGAATCTAAAGGCTTATACAAGCCAATATCACAGCTTTACATAAAGCATTAACAATTATTGGCAGCAAGAAATAGAATAATGGAAAATTGTGTTCAAAGACAATAAATTTGAAATGCTTATGATACAATTCGTCTTTTAAATAGCAGGTTTTGTTTGTGGTAGACAAAGGTTGTAGTGAGCAGTTTTATTCCAGAAATCTGAATTCTTCCATCCACACCATCCCTTACTGATAATAATGGACAAGTCTTCTTGGCCCGTGTAGTGAGGATCTAGGATTAGATAACGAATATCATTCGTCGCAGAGTTGAATTCCACTCCCAAAATTGTGTGGGCCAGCACACCTCCACCTATAAGTAAAATGGTTTTATAAAGTACTTACTCATTAGGATAACATTATTACCTTTATAAAAAAAATATTGCTCAAATATTGGAAAGACTTACCAATCATAATAGGGCTGCCATGTGTTTGGAAATGATGTACTAGATCATGAGCATAGCTCTGTAACTCTGCCCCAGTATTGGCAAATATGATCCTTGATTGTACACCTAAAAGTGTTTCTAAGCAGAACATAACCTCAGTAGACCCTATCCATTGCTTTGAACCTAAAAATGAAGACTGCTTATCACCAATGTTTACAAGGCACTGTTGTATATCTCTGTGGGTGGGTATGTCAACGGTTGTGTATCCTTGGTACCTGAAAACAACAAAACATTTTCATTGTAAGAATATTTAGGAGGTACAGAATATCTTATTTGAATATATAAAATTACGCACCTAAACCATGAAAATATAGTTTGCATTGAGCGGTAGGCACAACCCCAACCGTCATCGTTAAAGTTGTCCTGCATATAGTGGTGGTACGTATATCGGCCTCGCACTAGAGCTACGGTGACGTCAGGTTTGGATGGCTGCTGAGGGATAGCCTCGTGAGGATTCACTAGACGTCCGCCACTTTTATCAGCGTACGCATTACCTCTTCGAAAAACAGGTCTAGTTAGAGCCAGCCCTAACTGTTCATGTAACAATCGCCGTTCTTTTTCTGCAATGATTGCAATAAATAGTTAATATTAATGTACTCTTCAGGTCGAAATATTTCGATGTTATTACATAAATATTTTAACTTACCCATACTTTCATCTGGTATAGCTTTAGGTACTACTCTAGTGATGAAATGGCCTATTTCTTGTGGCAGGAAGTGGAAAGTTTCAGGTAATCGTAGCCCAGCACCATCTCCAATACCCTCTTGACCTGCAATTAGATTGAAAACGGAATTAAACCTTATTTTTTAATTTATATTCAAATACAATATATTGTGGCTGGATAATCGACTGCTAGCTGTGTAACGTCTCCTGAATTCGATTCCTGCACGGATCGAAAGTACCGTAGTACCGGTGTTATGTTTATGTAACTATATACATCCTAAATAATATAATGCCCCCAAGAAAGCCAAGAAAATAGGAAACAAATATATGTATAAGGATATCTTTACAAACCTAACTGTTCCAGTAAGACACTCTCTAATAGTCGGAGTGACCTGCAGGCAGCCTCCACAAGAACTGTATAGAGATCCAATAATTTTGTGTTGCGATGTATCATAGCTAGAGTATCTATTCTTAACGGCATACTGATACAAAATGCAGCTGTAAAGAAATAAAAAAACACATTACTTAGGTAGGCCCATCCATACAGTGGCAAGCGCTATAATGTCCTGCAGCTCCGGCCCGGAGTAAGAAAAGCAACAGGTTAGTTATTAGTCAGTGAGTCTAACAGGTCAGTCAGTCAACAGTCTTCTCGACCCACCAGGGGGTCGAGAAAAATCTGTAGAAAATGTCGACTGCAAAAAGCCTGTTGAAGTCACATTATTACATTACATTTTGCATCCTATAGGAATCTACGAATTGGAACAAACAAATATCTTAACCAGAGAACTGATAATTTAAGGCTTATTTTTACATTTTCGTTTGTCATTGAAAAGTGCCTCTGATGGTCTTATTACCCTAATTGAGACAAACGAATTGAGTCCTAAATCTCTATTTTAGATATAGACCTTATACAACTAATGTGAAAAGTCTATCTTAATTCATATAATTTTGTATTGATATTGGTAAGTCAACTAAGAGATAAGATTTTATATGAATCATGTGTTTTATTAACTAAATACAATACTTTTGCTTGGTATTAGGATCAAGTGTTTTTCATTATAATACTTACGTTTCCTTTGAGTAGTCATCATTTTAACTGCAGTCTTAACAAGTTTATCTGATAATATATCTTTTGTTGTCTTCAACACAAGATTTATGGGCACTATCTCCTGAAAAAAAAATGTAAAATGAGCTCATTAAAAAAAATCTAAAAAGATTGACTTATTATTAATGCAAAGGAATGGTAGTTCTGGTAAACATTGTTTTTCACATTGACAGTGATGACTTGAAACTAGTAGAACTTTTCTCAGTTTTGTCATATGATTAAGTAGTTGTTTTTAATAAATTAAGTGTCCAAGTCCAATATTATTATTGGATAAAAATACTTGTTTCACCTTAATAAGTTTAAGTTTATTAGTATATACCAACAATATAGTATTGAAAATTAATCTCAAACTTTTATTTCATATTTTTATTTAGTATTTTTTTATTATAGATTAAAAGTAAAAAAAGTTGTGTCTATACTTACTATGCTACTATTATTATGCTTCTTTTTCTTGGGCTGTTCTGGACTCATGGAGTCCACAAGCTCTCCTATGGTTGCATCTGTGCTAGTACCAGTTAAACCCACATCTGAGGCAACACCAAATAGGTAGACTGATGTGCCATCAATATGGAAAGAGACCTGACCAGAAGCAATCTGCAACATTAAATACAATATAGAATTAGATAACAAAATAAATTAATAAAAAAATGCTCCAAGTAACAATTATTTCTAATTGAAAATATATCTAATTTATTAAATAAACTAACATTTAAGTACACCCATTTATTATAGACAAAATTAATATAATGAGGCTCATAAAAGGTACATAGATTTTAATTATTCTTACTTTGCTGTCTTATTATTTGTGATATTCTATATTGTCTCTTAAAAATAATCATGCCTTTACAAGCATGTGCGCTGCAATAATTATTTAGTATAACAAACCTTTTTTCTCTTGTTTTGCAGTATATTTTTTACTCCAGATATAGTTGCCTCACAGCTCAGTGGTAAGATTGTGTTCAATCGTACATGAAGAAACTGTTTCCACATTTCGTCTGAGTTCAGCACTTCATACTTTGTCTCCTCAAACTTATCATGTACCAGAAAATGTGTTTTCATTTCTTTCTTTTCATTGACTATCATCACTAAAGGATTGTCCGTTATATCTACATCCTGAAATAAATGTTTGTGAATAGTGTTACAGCAGTGTTATTTAATTTTTTATCTGTCTATATCCACTTTCTGTATGGTGATATTTAAATAAAAGACAAATCAATGGTTACCTGCAGTATTTCCTTCATTGTAGTTCCAGTAGTCAATGTTTCGCCAAATCGCACGACGCCACATAATTCTATCTCAGCGGGGAGGTTGAGCAAAAACTGCCTATATGTATTCTTCTCATTTTCAAATAATTCTAAGCTCAGTCCAACCACGAGCAATGTGCCATCGTACATGAGGCCATATAGACATCCTGTACTTTCATTTGTGTCTATATTAGACAACCGCTAAAATAATAATATTAATTATCAGTAACAAACCAGTTCACATTCATATAACTTAGAAAAAATACCATAAAATATGTAATGACTGTGACGATGACGTATGTTATTAAACTATAATTTCAAACAGTTTTACCGGAAAACTGTGGTTTAAAATGAAACCTCGTTATTTTGTTAACTTTTATAACACGAACTTAACACTGTAACAAACATTAGTTAATAAAAATAAAATAGTTTACCTCAATAACATAATTTGATATTTTGAGACGTGGTGACATTTTACATGAATGTTACCAAAACAGATAATAAAGTACAGACAATCTGTCATGATGACAAAAGTTGCCAGTGTATAGATTTTAAACGGATGAATAAACATATTTTTGTTTTATGTTTCAGCTTTTAGCTTAT